AGTTAGTAAAGCTTAGAAAGGTGCTGTTACCGTAAAATCGGCCTCCCTGGCTTCCAGCCCCGAGCTGGTGCTCATTTTTGCTTCTAAGTAGCTCTAAAATTGGTGGTTTGTATACGGTAACTATATTAAAGAGAAAAGAGAAAAAGGGCAGAAGGTGGATGTAAACAATTCGAAGATTGAAAGCAGGAAAAGTGCCTGGTCGCGCTTATCGTTCCCTCAAGGCCCTCCGATTTCTTCTGCAACAAAATGGCCGAAAATTCTTTGCCGCAAGAGATCGATTTGATTTTCGTAATCGTCTGTTGCACAATTAAACGAAGCCCTAAGAGGTATTAACTATAAGAAGTGGAAATTGAAATCGCACGACGTCCTGGAGCAACCAGGCATTATGGAAAAATGCGCATGCTTCTGGCTAAGAAGATATTTCATATGCTTGGCTTTGTCGTTTTTAAATTTCGAGTAATTCTCTAAATCTATTATTTCTTGAAATTATGAGTTTATATTTTAGTAGACGCTTGTGAAACATAGGGGAAAAAGTTCTTTAGAGCCAATTTCTCGAAGGCCGTTCTCGCTCAACAATTTTGAAAGCTGGGAGTTGTTTTAGTTCTGAATGTCAACTTTTATCGAATGAAGCTTTCTGACATTGAAAAACTCCAAAAGCACCTAAAAACGACACCGTGTAAGTTGCGAACGGGTCGATTCGCCATATCACTCCGCAGCGAGTTGGCGAAGCCATTTTCTTGAACAAGAAATTGGAATCTCTTGTGGAAGCCAAAGCGCCCCTAGTTAATCAATACTTTCACGTGAAAAAATACTTTCTAAGGTGTTTTCACACTTTCGGTAAGTCTCCTTCTTATACTGCAGCGCCTAGCGCATTAATGAGGTACAAAAGGAAGGCAATATAGAAGATTTGGAAAAGGTGAAAAGACCGAAAGGTGAAAGGAAGACCATCGAACCCCGAAAATAAACTTAATTTCTTATGCTCTATCTAGGACACCAATTCTAAACCTAACGCTACAGTGGGACGTATGCTACGAAACTACAAAACTAATACAGTAATCTAAAAAATTCCAATTTTCGACATACCGATGTGATGACTTAAATTAGCTTACCTTTCCTTTAAAAATGCAAGAAGCTGCGCCGGATTCGTTAGACCTGCCCCGAATGAGCCTTTCTCCTATCTGTCCCCGGGTCTAACACCGTAGATTTTCTTCCGCAAGAAATTGGCAAAGCCTTGTGCAAGTCATAAAGTCGATTAGTTTTTCAGTGTTTTTTATAAGAGAAATTTAGAAGATGAACCTTGATTTCTCGCCCGTTCCTCGATGCCTAGCTACCTGGCAGTTTAGGCGCTACATTTAATGTCTTTTCGCTGTCTAATTTTTTGTAAGTATATTCTTTGTATTTTTGTATTTTTGTACGACAAAAACTTTATTAAAGCTACGTACACCGCATAAGAAAATTCATACATACTTTTTACAAAAATTTTAAAACGCCACGCTCAATGGGCTCTTCGTTCAATTTGGATATGGCTTTCAAACGTCGCGTTCATGGACTCGGTTCCATCGAGGGATAGGGCGTCGCAGGGCCCGGATCTAAAGCAGAGGTTTTTTAGAAATTTGTAACTTCACCTACCCTATCCATATCCGGATCCGGACGTGGTCGGAACCAGGGGTAGCGCTGCGGATCCAACTGCCGCTGACGCTCGATCTCGCGCCAGAAGTAGGCGAACCACTGGAAGTAAGGCTTGAAGCAGTAATCTTAAAGGGTACGTTCAGGGACGTTTTTTTGGAAAAAAAGCAGATTTTTGCCGCGGCCGGGGGTCGAACCCGGGCCCCCCGCTCGGATGGATACCAGTCAGCCACAGCTACAACCTGACGAGGGGGCGAGGGGCGCCCAACGCCGCAAAGGAGGGGAACGGCCTGTCACAGCACGGGCAGGCAGTGCGCGCGGTCCCTACGTCCATAGGGTGTACACGTTGGGACGAGTACACGGCCCCTCCCTGAACGTGCGCTTTAAATGACAAATAGGTCCTTGATAGCTTAAAAGTAATCTAGTCGTCAGATTTATATAGGTTTTTTGTAGACTAGCCGTTGAGAGTTTTTCATTATTTTGACAACTTCTTGAAGATACTGCAACATAAAATAGAACGATTCTCGGGGGAAAGCATAAGTAAGATAGACGTAAGCTGATTAGGTTAGTAACCAACCCGAAACCGCAGATACCGTCGATGCTCAATGTCCTGCCGCTCCCTGATCAGCTGTCGGCGCGCCTCCACCGCTCGCAGTCGCGCTTCCTCCGCCAGTCTGACACGCCGGTCCTCTTCGTCCTCATCACTAAATTTGGATAATGTTTAGAAATCGTAAAAGAATCAAAGTATTACATAGCAACTTACAGATCTTCGACACGCAAATCTTCCTGCTCGTCATCGGAAAACTCCTGGCACTCGTATTCAAATTGCAGTTCGTTGATGAACGGGGGCATTGCTGGAAAACGGGGCGAATTACTAGATAAAGAGCGGCAAGAGAGAGACAGAGAAAGAGAGCGCGAGAGGGAGAGAGTGAGTGAGAAAGAGAGAGAGAGAGAGAGAGAGAGAGAGAGAGTGAGAGCGATAGAGAGAGGGATGGCCAGAGAAGTCTAAGGAAAGCTTTTTTCAAAGCCAAACTATGTTCTAAAATCGACGGAAGAAGCGGAGCCGCTTCGAAAATAAGAGATGATGATTCGGGTACGTGAATCCCGATCGATGCCCGATTGGCACCATCTCAAAATGTCCAGGAAAGGCCCCTGTCCCTCGATTCCTCTGCCCTTTCCTCTTTTCCCTCCCTCCTCACCACTTTTCTCGCGCAACGAATTGGCGCGCGGCTCGGCGGCCCGATCAACAACATTTGACTCATCTCGTCTGGGTCCAAGCAGACCATTAAAGGGGCCGGGAAGCCTGGCTTTTATGCAAATTTGAGGGTTTTCCGTGAGGGACCTAGATACCTTTGGTTTTGAAAATCGGGTTTCAAACTGCCCTGACAGCCATTTTCCTGAAGAATCTCCGCTAGCCGGCTAGCTACGCAAAATACGAGCGCCGGGGTCCTTTAAGAATTCTTCAAGAATCTCTGCTGGTTTGCCAGCAATAAAAAGGACATCGGAAGTTAGTTCAAAACTACGGTTTCTAACATCTGGTTTCAAATGCCCCTTTAAGAATTTTCCGCTTTTCAAAATGGTGTAACGCTCCCTTTAAAACCCGGAACATTCTGTTCTTGCTGTTGTAGAAAAACGTATTCCAATTTCATGTTTTTTTTCCGAGCGTCCATGATTAACATATGTTTATTTATATCAGGAAAAATTACTTTCATTCCGGGCAAAAAAAGATAAACTACGTTCAGAGATCCAAATCAATTTTTGTAGTTTGTATTTTCAAAAAAAAAATTAATTCAAGCATCGATTTCATACGTTTTTAAAGCCAACCTTTTGCAAAAAAATGTTAGCATCGGCTGCGACAGGATCAGATGGAGTTGCTGCGGTCTCTCGGCTTCGGGTCTTTGAACGTTTCCGGCGCCCATTCGCACAGTATGGCGTAGCGCATCGTCTCGTGGATGTCCGGGCAGAGTGGCGTGCGGAAGCCGGGCGGCATCCCGAGAAAGCGTAGAAGATGCTAGAAAAGGGTATGTAAATTCACAGAGCGGTGCTTACCTCGCGTTTATGCCCTGGGGGCTGGCGGAACAGCTCCCAGAGTAGGAAGATGGTTCTGGAGCGCCGCTAAAAAAAATAGAATTTTGAACGCTTTTTCTCGCGTTGCATTTTATTTCCGTCTCTCTCTCGCTATCCCTTGCACTCTCTCTCTCCCTCTTACTCTCACTCACTCTCTATCTCTCTCTTTTTCAAGACGTACAACTTCTCTTATTTCCTCTTCAGTGGTGGCTCCCGCGTCTTCAGCCCATTCTGCCCAAGTACGCTCGAAAAGTTCGCTAGAAAATTGTACTTCTGTATCTCTTCTAGATCCCGCTAACAGGTGCTAATTATGTTCATCTACCGGTCGTACAATTCCATATATTCGTCGATCGTCATGTCCTCAAACCGATCATCGCCATGAAACGGTGGCATGGCGGTTGGAGGGATATTGTAGGTGCTGAAGAGAGAGAGAGAGAGAGAGAGAGAGAGAGAGAGAGAGAGAGAGAGAGAAAGAAAGAGAGACCACGAAAAAATGTGAACGGTTTCTAGTTAGAAACGCTTTTTCTGAATATTTTTAGTTCCAAAAAACATAGAAAAAGTGAAAATAAAGTTTCTAACGACGTTTTTATAGTGTCGTAGTATACCTTAGGGATTTGGTGCCCCGGTCACCCGGGCTCCTGCTAACTAATTTGTTATGCAAAAATTAGCCCAACCCCTCGATCGGGCTAATTAGGTGTCGAGTGGAAGGGCCCAGAATAAGATTTTAATCGAATCTGGAGTCAGGGATAGGAGATTGGAAATAAATTTTAGGTTCCGAAAAGAAGGTTCTAGAGGGGCCGGGGAGATTTCGGTAAAATTGTAGGGGTTGCGTGCAGGAGGTTTTTGGGAAATTTGTAGTTGTTGGCAAGCTCCGCAATGTTTTTCTGCTATCTTCAGCTTTCCTGTCGCTCTCTCTCTCTCTCTCTCTCTCTCTCTCTCTCTCTCTCTCTCTTGCTCTGTCTCTATGTCTAGCTCTCCACTCTCTAACCATCTTTCTTGGTCTCTCTTTCTCTCCCTCAATCTCTCCCTCGCTCTCTCTCACTTTTTCACGATCTCCTCTTTCTGTTACTCTCTCGCTCGCTCTCTCACTCTCTCACTCTCTCCACTCTCTCTCACTCTATCTCTCTCACTCTCGTTCTCATTTTTGCAACTTGGACCAGGTTAGGCAAAAGTTTATCGGCTTATCTAGCCAAATAAATACGAACAAAGACGTAATTTTTTGCTACAAAAATATACAATTACAAAGATACGAGGCAATTATGTTTAAATCTCTCTCTCTCTAAAAGACAATTATGGTGATCAAATCAGTATTTGTCCTGTTTCATTCCACCAGTCGCAATCGTGGCTTGCCAGGCAAAGTCGCCGGTGTCCTGAAATAGAAATGGGTTGATTTCTGGGGTCACTGTATCTCACCCTCGTATTCTTTAGGTGTTCCTCTTTCTGCTGATGCCAACGACGATCGGCCTGCATGACCTCCTCAAGCTCCCTGCGCTCCTGTTCGCTCATTTGTGTAGCGAACGAGCGGTTCTTCGGCCTGAAGGGATCATTTTAGCCACTGGATGACAAAAAAAATAGATAATGGTCCAAAGTGCTCATACAGAACAGTTTGCCGTAAAAGTTTCTATTCCTAATTGATTAAAAGTTTATTTGAGCATTAACCTAAGCCGAGGCCTAAGAATAACCAAAACGTCTAGTATCTAAACTTACTGCCAACGCGCATAGCCTCCCTGTGCCATTCCCTGGTCATCGTGCATGGAAAGCATTTTGCGAAGTTGAACGAGGCTTCGGTTTGCTGGAATTTATTGGAATTATATTTGAGGCGTAATAACAAGCATAAGCCTAAGCTTAAGCCTAAGCCTAAGCCTAAGCTTAAGCTTAAGCCTAAGCCTAAGCCCAAACCTAAGCTTAGGATAATATGGAAGGAACTGTAACTAGGATCGAAACGGAATGGCGAATGCTCATGTCCAGTAAACGCCGCCGACCCGGCACGTGCCGGACCCGCCCTGCCCCGCGACCCTGTCTTTTTCTGCGACAAGGAAAGGGGAAAAAATGGGGCGACATCCTCGTGATGATGAATCATACGACAACATGTTGAATACGGAATTATGTAGATGGGAACCGATACGGAAATAGTCACATCACAGGGCCTGTAAATAAAAATCCAGGAAATGAGGGGTTGAGGTTACGAAATCAGTATACTTCGCCAACCACCCCGGGTGGTACCACCCCCAGGGGTGGTTGGGGGGGGGGTGGTCAATGCATTAGCCACCCCACCCCACCCCTTACAAAATTTTTTCTTAACCTGGCAATAAAAATTTCGGTCTTCCGACTACATTGTCTTTGAGGGACCTTATCTGACTCGAACAAGCCTTTGATTGCTAGGTTATGAAAAAATTTTGTAAGGGGTGGGGTGGGGTGGCTAATGCATTGACCACCCCCAACCACCCCGCCCCACCCCCCCCGACCACCCCCAACCACCTCAGCCCCCCCCCCCGGGGTGCCACCACGGGTGGTTGGCGAAGTATAGAAATCAGAGAAAGAGAGAGCGAGAAAGAGCGAGAGAGGGAGAAAGCGTAAGATAGAGAGAGACAGAGAGAGACAGAAAGAGAGAGGCAGAGAGAGAGAGAGAGAGAGAGAGAGAGAGAGAGAGAGAGAGAGAGAGATGGTGACTTTGCAAGAACCCCAGCGCAGGTAGCTATTAATTTCGGGTTTTAGAAAAATTGGCGGTTAACCCCGCAAATCATGATGAGGCTCCTCCGCCGAAATTCAGACATTTTACTCTTAAAAACTGAAATGCTCTACTGTTTCCTACTTTTAATCGTATTTCTGATACCGGAAATTGAAAATAAAATCAACTGCGCCTACGAGCTGGACCAGGACAATCAGAATGGGTTGGCAAGTTTATAGAGATTTTTAGATATGAAAAATCGTTGAAATCAGTAATCAAATTTCGTTTAAAGCTTAAGAGAGTGCTCAACTCTTTTATCATCACCAATCACAAAAATTATAGAGTTTTTACCACGCTGTACAGATTCAGATTAATTCCAAATTTCCAGGATTCCGAAAGAATGCGAAGGCGATCTCTGCCTAATTTCCAAGAGATTACGCTACAATACTACTTTCGGATACACAATGGCCCCATTTGTATTGCGGGATTGTGTCACTGGAATGAAGTATTGGGAGACTGGATGTTATTTGGATCCAAGAACGAAGGCCGACAACTACAGTAACGGAACGATCGGGTACACTTGTCTATGCAAGTGGGTTTTTTTTGTTGAAATTGTCTGGATCTCTCTCACTCTCTCTCTCTCGCGCTCTCGCTCTCTCGCTCTCTCTTTCTCTCTCTCTCTCGCCTCTCTCTAGCCATATCTCTAGGACTCCATGAGGCTCAACCTCGCTAACGAGAGAGAAAGGAGATAGACAAAAAGAAAGAAGGAGAGAAACAGAGAGAGAGAGAAAGATATATAGAGAGAGAGTGAGAGAGAAAGAGAGAGAGCGGGGGTGATAGAGAGCGAGAGCGAGATAGAGACACATAAATTGAGAGATAAAGATATATTTTAGCACCGACCTCTGCAATGTCGTAGAACCACAAATCGACCCCGACGGTGCTTCCTATAAGTTCACCTGGAGGCCGAAGCCAATTCCATTAATCATCAGAGCACCTATCGACTGTTACGAGGTATCTATTGCGCATTAATGGCAAAATACTCACGATGTTTTCAGGCTAGTATCACCGGTGCTAGCCCGAACGAAACTATAAACTACAACACAACCAGGCGGGCGACTTCCACTTGTCAATTCTACGCGACCGGCAGGGTATGTTTCTCCCCGAGCTATTGCCTTGCTTAGGCTCCAGCTCATGCTCGTGCTCAGGCTCAGAATCGGTATATTTCATTTCAGCCGCCAGCCTCAGATTCTATCGGCGAAGCTCCGGCGCTAAGCCAAGTCACCGGCGAGTTGAATCGAGTCTACGGTAGTGGCGGGATCCTGTCGATCGAGGATTTGGAGACTGACCTCAACTTTCCGTAATTTAACGTAGAAAGATAAGAATACCGCGTTTTATTAAGGTTCTACAACGGCGGGGTATACTTGGTGCAGGGGTCCTTTTCTTATGCTAGGCTGACGATGAATTGTGATTGGGTGAGTTTAAGAATAGTCCTGAATAGTCAGATGTTTTGGATATCATGCTCTCTCTCTATCTCTCTCTCTCTCCCTCTCTCGCTTATTTTTAAAGTCCAGCCTCTCTGCAATCGTGTCAACATCTCGGAAATGCCCCCATCAACCGTCAGCTGCCATGCAGGAACGATTGGCGGATGGAATGGAGGTATGAGTTGTATATTTATTCATGACAACATGACATATGGAAAAGAAAAGAGGGAGAGAGCGAGAGAGAGAGAGAGAGAGAGAGAGAGGGAGAGAGAGCAGGGCATCGAAAAATCGGATTCTTCAGTTCTTCATCCAAAGTCTGACCACCAGTGGTGCGCAAAGCGAAACTAGCATGGAAGTGCCTGAAAGTCCCTGGATTTGCAGAATCAAGGCCGGAAGGTAATGCGGAAATTGGCTAGAAATTTCGAATGGCCAGCATAAAAGTTTACCGGTAGCACTGCAACCAAACGATTGATAGATGCCGGCTTTTGGGGTTGTGTCGTCGCAATCATCTCCGGTTTGTTGGATGAAACCTTTCCTGAAAACCGGAAGCCAATCTTGGAAAGGAAATATTGAATGCTAGGCTTAGTCTTCGGCTCGGATACGCGAAAAAATCTGCTTTGTGTCGGCTGCGTTAGGCCTAGCTTACAGGCTTAAGAGAGACGAGGAATGCAGAGTCACCTACCCCAAGACTACGGCAACCAGCAACAAAATCAGAAAAGCTGTGGACTGCATCTGACTGACATCTGACAAATTGACCGAATCTGCGGAAATTTCCGGACTTTCCTAGACCCCGGGACACTTTTTATATCGCGCTTGATCTGAATTTTATGGTGAGGCCAAAAACGTCAGAGGACGATCAGAAAGGACGCAAAAGATTTGGATTGAGTGTTTGTTCTATGGACGACGGTGCCGGGATCATAAAAAGTGGCCAAAAACGCGTCCGGGCTGGTCCGAAAGTACGGATCCCCCGTAGTGAATCCGAGGCTCGTAGCGCGGCAGGGCATCTTCAGGTATGGATCCTGTGTGAGTGTGTCCGTGCCACTATACAGGGTGTCCCAAAAAAAACCCCCCCTCTAGCGGTCCGAGGGAAGCTCCGATCAGGATAATTTTTATACCATTCGAAAGCCCGCGAAAAGGGGAGAAAACAAGCGGGCTTCATTTTCTAAGATTTATTCTTATTCGTCCGATATTCAACGTTTTTCTAAAAAACAGGCAGCTTTTCAATAGGAATTTCGCAATTAGCATGCAGATCTCGCGTAAATCTGCCGTTTTCATGGTTTTTGGAGGTAAAATTCGCCAATAAAAATACATAATAAAGAAAATGAACCCTCCTTGTTTTCTCGCCTTTTCGAGAGCTTTCGATAGATACCTAAACGGCGAGAATCGGACACGTCTGGGCGCCGCTAGAGGGGGGGGGGGGGGTTTTTGGGACACCCTGTATATATAGTAGGATATAAAAAATAGTGTTTGTGTGTGTGTGTGTGACACTTTGCATGCAACTTCCGTCAGGGTGTCCGGAGGATATCTCGATAGGGAATGAATTTTAGGGTATGTATGATACGTCATTAGGTGCGTAATGGCCTGGAGAAGACTGCACGCACATCAGATTTATCAAAATTGCCTATTTTCGACATTAAATTTAGTTTTTTGTTAAAAAATCGACGGCCTTCTTTGTTAGGAAAAAAAATAGCATGTGCCGGAAGTTCCGGTGGCCTATATAGTGGGGTAGAGAGCACCATTTTCGTTTTTGTCACAGGAAGTCCAAGAATTATGCAAAGTTAGGTATATCATGAGATCAGACAGGGCCAGGGTTGAAAAGTCGCGAAGCGGCTTTTCAACCCTGGTTAGACTTTAACAAAACTGTAGAGTAGCTGCGATAGGACCGGCATTCGCTTAAAGTTAGGCAAAGTCCAATTCTATCTATTAAATTTGAGCATTTCGTGGAAAAACCGGTGGAAATGTTGCACTTTCTCACTCTCCTCTCCTCTCATACGCACTCTCCTCTCTCTCGCTCCTCTCATACACAATCTCCTCTCTCTAACGCTTTTTTCTCTCTATATCTTTACTCTCTCCTTCTCTCTTGGTCTCATTTGGTTTCTCTGTCTCTCTGTCTTTATGCCTTCTCACTCTCTCGCCATATATTGCTCAATTCTCCGTAATGTGCGTCGAAAACCTTTCTCATTGTTTTTATTTATTAGTGCGCAACAGTTATGGGTCAAATCGTAATCACATAGTAGAGGAAAAAGAAATTACACAATGCAATTCAATTCCTCATCCATAGCTTGACCAGCGCAAATGTGCAGAGGGATAGCAGAATGGAGGTGCCTGAAATTTACTAAAAAAATTTCCCTTTAATTTATTATTTACTTTTTATGCCTAAAATAACTGCCTACATATACCGAAAAGAAGCTTACAATTAACTTAATATTCTGGCAATCTCATGGCCGATGGCATTTTATGCTATTTTTCCCGAAACAATACGGTCAAACAACCGACCCGTGGCACTGCAGTCTTCCTGTTTGACATGAATACCGTTATTATCAGTGATATTCACCCAGCATTTGCCTCCCGGATGTACGATCACGTCCCTAAAGGTATTTACATCCTTTCGAAGTTTTTCAACGTCATGGTTTTTATTTGTTGGTGCTAATTTAAGTTCGGTAATTTTTGGATTGAGCCTAAGCCTAAGACTGAGCCTAAAACGACGAAGCCCATCTTCGGCCAGAGACTTACCCCACAGCAACAGCGACTAGTAACATAACCAAAAACGCCATGACCTGCATCCTAAAATGGTCGTTTTGTAGAGCGAGAAGGATCTCCCCCCTGGTATCCTCGCGTTTTATACATGCCAGAAAAAATAATGTTTCACGACGTCTATGGAGGACGAGTGAAAAAGTGTTTGCTCAACAGGCGAGATCATAAAATCGCCGATACGGCGAGTTCAGGGTGTTCAGAAAGTGCGGATGTCGCTCCCTATCTTTATCGCCCTCGCTCTCTGGCTCTCTGACTCCTTCTGGCTTTCTTGTATTTGGTATAGCATCCATTTTAGTAACGGAAGACACTTGCACTGGTCATCTGTGTTTCTTCAGCGAGGCTCGGGTAGGGCAGCCAACGGTAAGGTGACCACGTTTTAGCATAGAGCTGCGATGGCGACGGTACAATACAGGGGATGTTTATGGCAGGACGATAGGATGGCGAATGGGAGGATTGAGGTGAGAGGGAGAGACAGAGCGAGTACGAGAGAGAAAGGAGAGAGGGATAAAGCGAGAGAGAGCGAGAGAGAACAGAGAGAGAGAGCGATATATATTCCAGGTCGGCGAATACACACTGGCTTGGCGGACCCTGTACTGCGCAGAAGATTACTGTAATTTTAATGTGACCTCAGCTGAAGAATCCGTCAATGCGTATATTCCGGTTCTCCCTACGTTCAAGCCATATTCAGAAGCGATTAAGAGTCGGCAAAAAGTAGGAAATTCCGGCTTTCATCTAGAATTCAAAAGTTTAGGCCGGAAAGACAATAAAATCCAACGTCACTGATGAAATTATTTGGGAAGTTTCGAATGTTACTTTGCCTCCAGTGGTCGTTATGGATGTTGGTGCGGGCATCGGTGATGGTGGCGCGGTCTTGATTGGAAGAGGGGTTGGGGTAAATTGAAAATTATCATTATCCAGACAGCGAGAGGGAGGGAGTGAGAGAAAGAGAGATTGGGAGGGAAGGTGCGAGAGATGTGTTTGATGTATGATGTTTGTTGATGTCTTTTGTAGGGACGAGAGCAAGACAGCGAGTGAGAAAGAAAGGGAGACCGAGGGATAGAGAGTGAGAGAAGGGGAGAGACAGAGAGAGAGAGAGAGAGAGAGAGAGACAGAGACATAGACATAGAAAGAGAAAGATAGCTAGAGCTAGAGAGGGAGAGCGAGAGAGAGAGAGGGCGAGGGGGAGAGAGAGAGAGATAGAGAGAGAGATAGATAGATAGACAGAAAAGGCGAGAGCAAGGGCGAGAGGGACAGATAAAGTGAGAAAAAGGGAAAGGAAACGAGAGAACTGATTCAAGGTACGACTCAGCATGCTTATTTCGCATAAAAATTAGCATAAATTGGCATAATAATCAGGGGATCAGGTTTTACTATTAAACGCCTCAATTCTGTCTTTTCCCCCCTCTCACCCGGCTTCACATTCGATGCTGCGCCTCCTGGGGCTCATCCTCATCTCCTCGCTATGGTCATCAACATCCGCTGCTGATCTGCCCGTAAATGCTGAAACTTCTAGCAATTTACATCCCAATTCCAGTACTGCGCATTCAAGCAGGAGCCGCCCGGGTGCAAGCTGCAGTTCCTGTGCAAGAACAGGTATTGTCGTCCCCTCCCAACGACTTCAAAGTGTTCAGTATTGATAGCAACTGCGTCAAGGAGTGCAACTACACCGGATTCGGGGCCAACTACGCCGACTGCATCTTTCTCGACATGGCCATGACACATCAGGGCGTGGTGAAGGCTTTCTACGCGTACAGAAATGGGGTGAGAGAGAGAGAAAGAGAGAGAGAGAGAGAGATAGAGAGAGAAAGAGAGAGAGAAATGACGCTTCAGACGGCACCTTACGGCACCCCGATGAGCCGCGCGGATAACCTGGCGATGAGAAGAGGGTTCCATGACTTTGAGCACAGGGTGTACCCAAAATGCGTCCAGGCCGACCACTTGATGACGGTTTGTTCAGATGAACAAGTCTACGCCTAAGCCTAAGCCTAACAAGGAAACCTCCCCAGCTCGAGGTTGGACTTCGATTAGCCATATAGCCTATCTGATGCAGTTTTTCACGCTCATAACGATACCGATATTTATCTTTGCCGAGCGCCACAGGGACATTGTTAAAAATCGATTTAAAGTTTTGTCATGTTTGGCAGCCCCGCCTCAAAGCCCCTCCCCAATGGGAAGGAGCCATCGGCGGCGTGGTGTAGTCGGCAAGTACTTGGCCTACCAATCTAGAGGTCGCTAGTTCGAGTCTTGCCGCTGACGACTTTTTTGCTTTTTGCTTCAAAAGTGCTGTGAAGGTCCTATCAGTCATCAAGAAATATGGTTTTAAGTTTTTTTGAACTTTTGGTCACCAATTCAAGTTGCTCGATTCGATTTCTCGGAAAGACTGTTTTTCAGCCGAAGACATTTGGAATTATCGGTGGATCACCCACTATTTAATGCACCAGCCACTCTTTTGAAAACTTTTTGAAAAAAAGGAAAAAGAGATACTAGGTACTGTCTTTAAGTTTTTTTACATCTTATGTCAAGCTTCATTTCTCCACCAAGGTAAGCATTTTGAGGTCATAAAATTCCTGAGGATCGTATCGAGACCTGTGATTCGTTGTAGCCATAACTACCTGAATTAGCGACCAAAAGTGCAAAAAAACTTAAAAATATCTTTCTTGATGACTTGTAGGACCTTCACAGCACTTTTGAAGCAAAAAGCAAACAATTCGTCAGCGGCAAGACTCGAACTAGCGACCTATAGATTGGTAGGCCAAGTACTTGCCGACTACACCACGCCGCCGATGGATCCTTCCCCTTGGGGAGGGGCTTTGAGGCGGGGCTGCCAAACATGACAAAACTTTAAATCGATTTTGAACGATGTTCCTGTGGCGCTCGGCAAAAATAAATATCGGTATCGTTATCAGCGTGAAAAACTGCATCAGATAGGCTATATGGCTAATCGAAGTCCAACTTCGAGCTGGGGAGGTTTCAGTCTATCCGAAGCCTAACCCGAACCTAGACCACGTTTTTCTAGCGTCGCCAACGCCTCTACGTGAAAACGGACATGCTGCTGAACTGCAAGACAAACCCCTTCTATCTCCGCTACCCGATCCCGGAGATGATGGTCATCCCCGACGAGTGCACCCCTGAGCACGACCTCGAAAAAGTACGAACTTGCCCGCTCGTTGGCCATCTTTTTCGGGCTTTATTTGTCTTTCGATCGATCCCCCCTCTCTCTCTCTCTCTCTCTCTCTCGCTTTCTCCGTCTTTCTATCTATCTCTTTATCCCTCCTTTTCAGATCCTCTGCACCCGATACGTCCCCCCGCTTGAGACCCAGAACTTTTGTAGTTTTTCGAATTCATTCATATTCTCGGTACTTCCAGTGAACCTCCTCGAACTCGTCGGCGGCGCTGCGCTCACCGGCCTCATCGTCGGCATCGTTGTTGCTTTCATCGTCAAACGGACACGCGCCTACTACTGGCGCCTGGAGCAGTGTGTGCTGTCATGGCCCCTTTAACTTCCACTCCAGCTCACCCGCCAAGCCCGGAAAGTCCGTGCTGTACTCGGAGCAACCCGCCAGCGCTGCCGCCTCGACAACCAGTAACGCGGAGAGGAGTGCCGCCGACACGAGCACGTTCACCCCGGCTAACACGCCGGACCCGGTAAGACTCTTTGCTGGTTCGATACAGCTATATCCTCAAGAATCTCTGCTAATCACCCTTCTAGGCAAAAACCGTCGACGATGTGTCCGTCGACACCGTGGAGGCCGCGGAGCCCAAGACGAAAAGTGACAGGGAGGGGCCGGCTCCCCCGGAAGCAGCCAACGCGGTACTCTTTGATACCTTTACGACGCCTTTAACGCAGCGGCTAAAATCCCCCCAGCCATTCCGTCCGCGTCCCTTTAAATCATCGTCTCTTTTCTAGACGGGCCAGCCCGCCAACAAGAAGGCGGCCAAACGGCGCTCGGACCCTAAGGTCGGCTCGAAGAATGAGAAGAGGAAGAAAAAGTCGTGCCCCACCGAAAACACGCCGCCAAAGCCGAGGGCTCGACTTGGCAACCGGGCCGACGTGTTGGCCGCACAGGCTGGGATAGAACTCTCTAACGATCAGGCTTTCTCGCTCCCTTTCTCTCTCTCCCCCTCTTCCTCTCTCGCACACTCGTCCTCTATCGCTCTCCCTCTGTCTGTTTCTATTGCTCTGTTAGTCTCTGTCGCTCTCGCCATGTCCCTTCAACTTCGCTGTGCCGCTCTCTCTCCGCTTTCTGTATGATTATTGGACTCTCGTTCTCACTTCTACCAATCTCTCTCTCTCTCTCTCTCTCTCTCTCTCTCTCTCTCTCGCTCTATCTCTCTGATTCGCTCTTTCTTTCTCTCTCTCTCTCTCTCTCTCTCTCTCTCTCTCCCACACTTTGGATTTTTTTGAAAAATTATGGACGACGTCCCGAAAATACACCGTCCGGAAGTCTTCTTGGTTTTGGTTCGTTAGCGGGGGGATCTATCCCTGGCGGCTGCTAATAGCCCCCCGCTAATGAACCAGTACCAACTTTTTTCTTGATCTGTTTTTCGGGACGGTGTCCATCTAGCTTCTATCCGTATCACATCTCCACACTATTTTCCTTTTCCAGGAACGTGTCCTAGACGAAGTGCCATCGGACCACAGCAAAGAAGAGTCGAAGAGTCGAGCTGAGTAGTACCGAGTGCCGGCTGGATGCTCCGGCGACAAGCTACAACCACAAGTCCAACCACATTCCAGCAAAAAGACTATGAAATCGCCAAATCTCACATTATTTTTGCATGGTTATGCCGGATGTGAATAAAGAGCTTTGCGAGAATCGGAGAGGGAAAGAGAGACATAGAGAGAGAGAGAGAGAGAGAGAGAGAGAGAGAGAGAGAGAGAGTGATAGAGGGAGAGAGAAAAAAAAGAAAAAGAGCAATAGAACTCGAAGATTAGCTGGCGGCTCATGCGGCCTTTCCGGGAAACGAGAAAAAGAAAGTGAACACTTCGAAAAAGCCTAGCACCTACACCAGGGACGAACAAACTTTAAAAAATCCTTCATCTTTTTATCGTGCTAAAACCTTCATGGAGGTTAAATAAACACAAAAAAGGAAAAGTTTGTCGTGGCACGAGAATGCAAAGAGGAACGTTAAGACCAAAAAACAAAAATTAAAAATCGTGAGCAGGTCCCACCCTCGTGAGATTCTCCAGAGGCCGCGCACCTCGCCACTAGGCCACCAGATGGAGGGCATGCGGGGAGGGCTTATGAAGGCAGGTCAAAAACTTTAAAGCCCTGCAACTTTGTTGTATTACAGTATCCGTAGGTAAAAGTTACTTCAATCGATTCGTCTCGTCGAGATCTACAAAAAGAGCGAACTTGCAACAAGAAATTCGATGAGTGAAGACTGCTCCCTAGTAAGCGGCAGCGAATTTATCCACAAGCAGGCCCGTAGCGGAACCGAAATTTCGGGGGGGGCCCAAAAATTTTGAAAAAAATAGGCTTGTTATAAGTAAAAACTGTTTGAAAAACAGTAATAAACAGCGCCGCAGGCAGAAAAATTTTTGTAACTAAAAATCATAAGGGTCCCCCCTTATGAATTTTTCAGACCTTGACCGATTTCGGGGGGCCAGGGCCCCTGGCCCCCTCCTACGGGCCTGTCCACAAGTGACAAACAATTGAGCGTTATTTTAACACGCAAATTTTGGCTTGATTTTAACGAATTAATCAATGGCATGGCGCCCCATTGGATCGACAGCATATGCAAAGACATCGATAGGTCTTGAGGGGTGCGTCAAGAGGAATTGCACGTTTCCCTTGTTTTCCAGGACTGATTGGGCGTGCTCTTCGATGAGTTGGTGCCTGAAAATGTTCAAACTTGACTTTACGAAGAGGCAAACTTGCTGAGATCATTGAGGAAAGTGCTCTTGGGTGAGGAAGGTTGGCCTAAATAGATGCACCCTGAGCAAACTAGCAGAGATTTTGAAGAATAAACGATTTAGGCTAAGGCAAGCTAGCAGATTTCCTTGAGGAACGAGATTCGATGCCGGCAAGCTAGCAAAGCTTCTTGAGGAAAAAAGGTCAACCTAAGACAAACTAGCAGATATCCTTACGGAACCGAGACCAGACAAAGGCAAGCCAGCAGAGCTTCTTGAGGGGCGCAGGCTGATGTTGGTAAGCTAGCAGCGTTTCTTAAGCAAAAAAGACTAGACAAAGGCAATCTAGCAGAGTTCCTTTGGGAACCAAACCCAGGTTAGAGGCAAACGAGAAGTGATCCTTGATAAATTTAACTCCAAACCTGGCCATTATCGCCCGCATATCCCAGTGGCTGAACGGCGGCAGCCGCGGGTTGTCGAGCAGCACAAACGCGGTCTCCATAAAGTACGAGAAGAACGTGTTCAACTGCTCGGATTCGGATTTCTAGGACGCGGGCTGATTACCGTAACCCTCGCTTACCTTGGCAATCTGGTTATGCTTTGGTTGGAAAGCTCGGCGGCAATATTCCAGGAGGTCGGACTGGTCGAAAGCCCGGGGAAAGGAGGCGAGGAACGGGTCGTAGAGGAGTTCTGGAAAGTTGGGTTTAGTTACCTAGTTGGAGATAAATTGATATCTTGGAGCTATGGGAGCTGGGAGCAAGGAGCTACAACTTATTTCTCAGTCCTCTTAACGTACCTGAGGTATCGCGACGTTCCCGGTCTCTTAATAGAGCTTCTCCGAGCCGTCTACGGTAGAAGAACGTCAGCCGGGCGAACTGTGGGGGTAGGAGCAGGACGTCGGGAAGGGAGCTGAAAGGTATAGGTATGCTCCCAGTCTCTCTCGAAGCCTACGCCTACGCCTAAGCAAAGTCAATTTCCTTACTCCACATACGGCACCAAGTCCATTGGCACGTCGGTGACCCTGAAGACGATTTGACTCCCCGTACGGATCCCTGAAAATTGAGGTTGAAAAACTACAGTAATCCTCGCACCTGGCCCGTTCCGGTTGAAAACATTCTCACGGAGCATTATTTCTGTATAGGTGCTAAAAAAGAAGATATAAAAATTTACCAATAGTCAATTACCGATTAGCCAATCTGGTGCCATTAACTTGGTTGTAGATGAGGGGCACTTTGGCGACGCCGACAGATATCTCTTCGGGGTGGCCTGTTGACTGAAAAGGTAGAAATAAGAGTGAAAGAGAGAGAGAGAGAGAGAGAGAGAGAGAGAGAGGGAGAGAGAGGGAAAGAGAGAGTGAGCAAGAGAGAGAGAGAGAGAGCGAGAGCGAGAACTCCTACCTCATTGTCCTCAATTATCGAAGCCTCAATCAACAGTGCAACCTCTGGAGATTTATAATTCGAACGAACGATCACGTCCGAGAAATGGAAAATATCGTGAGAGCCGTCTTGCTGCAAATATCGTTAAAAATATGGATTTAGAACCAAAAATCTTAAAAAAAAGGTAAAGGGCAACTCACCCGATTCGAGAAAGTCCAAGTCCCATTTTTGTTGCTCGCCATGATGGTGTGAACGTTGCTTACCTAGAAAAAGATGTCCTGCACATCTCTCTCTCTCTCTCTCTCTCTCTCTCTATCGCTCTCCGCTTACAATCTGCCTGCCCGTCGTCTTCGACAAGTCGATGAGGGCGATCCGGACGAGATGAGCTTTTGAAGGACGTTTCTCCATTCCATCTATACGAACGAGTCGCACCAGCTTGACGACGGATACCTCACGTTTTTGGAGCTGGAGATGGAATTTGGTTCTCTCCTATCTCCCTATCACTCTCTCTCCCTCTCTCTTTCATCGCGCTCTCTCTATCATTCCTCTCTCTCTCCCTCTTTCTCTTTCTCTCTCTCTCTCTCTCTCTCTCTCTCTCTCTCACCTTATCCGCCTCAAAATTCCAATAGATGTCGTGAAAAGCGAGGTTGGAGCGGCTGAGTCGAGGCGCTAAGTGGCAGCTGCCTGTCAGGTGAACGTCTTGGGCAAGTGCTTCGCCCAGACAGCTCGGCTTGCCAGGAGCGGGCTTAAAGATGCTCATTAGTGGAAGAGCCAGAGAGAGAGAGAGAGAGAGAGAGAGATGGGGAAAGATATGCAGAGAGAGACCATAAAAAACCTACGATCTGAATTTTTGGTACACCGACAGGCCGCACTGGTTGACGTTGCGGCACTGGATCAGGTTCGGGCGGTGGATTTAGCTGCAAAAATAATTAAATAAGGAAATCTAGAGAATTTTTCGCTTTTTTTTTTACGCCAAAAAAAATCTGTGCTTAAATTTTTACGGAATTTGATTTATGATTTTGCTAAATCACAAAAACTCACATTTCGCACCGCTAAATGCTCACTAGGCCCGACATCCGTCGGATCGAAATGTTTTAGGAAGGTCTTCGGAACATTCCCAACAAAGCCAAGGGTATTAACGGCTTTCCACCAGCCATCAGCCCTAAAAATGGCTAGATTCAGGCGCCGCCTCCCTACCGTAACTCCAGAATCTTCAACAGATCGCCCTTTTTGATCGCCAAATCTCCTTCTTCATCGCCGGTCCAGTCAGCCAAGGCCTAAATAAAATGCATTTTTGTATATTTGGATCAATTTCCAAATTCAAATCTTCCAATTTTTTAGTTTTTAATAATTAAAAAATAGATAATAATGAAATTACAATAAATCGGTTGTGGTCGACGGTCGTGTCGCTTCTGGAGGCGATCGTGGCTAGAGTTGTAGTGGCCGGAGGAGCTAGAAAAGAATAGTCTCTCTCTCTCTCTCTCTCTCTCTCTCTCTCTCTCTCTCTCTCTCCTCTCCTACCTGGTGTCCCTTGTACCACCCCGGAATCGGCGCTCGACCTATCGCTGTCCTCCTCGCTCATCACTTGGCTGAGGGTCCGGTTTTGGAGTTGAGCTAAAAATAGGTGTTTACGAAAATTTACTGTATTAAATCTAATGTATTTGGAATAGCGGACGGACTACCTGTCGTCCTCTGAACTTGAGCTCCAGGCTGAGTTGGTTGCGGAACAGCAGCCTCCGGTTCGGTATCTACCTCGTTTTCTACCATTTCCTCTGAGGTTGAGCTCTAAAACGAGCTTCCTTAAGTGTCTTTGCTAGTTAGCCTCGGGGGAGGTGTAATTGAAAGACTATTTCCCAAGGATTCTCAGCTAGCTTGCCCAGCTCGAGCTCCAGCTCGTGCTCAAAAGGAATTCTTGCCAACTTAGGGTCGTGAAAAAAGGCGCACGAGAAATTAGAGCCTAAAAGCCACCCACCTCATTATCATACATTATACTAGCCCTTCTTCTAGCGGCCAGCATCTTGTCGGGGTTGGTGTTGTTGTTTTGGTTGTTGTTGATCACCGGACTTGGGGATAGGCTAAATTTTCATCATTTTTCGCTTTCAGTTACCTTTAAAAGATTATCTGCAAATTTTTACCGACCACGACTTACCGGTATTCTTCTGGAACTTTTTGCTCGACCGTCGCATCCGCTTGCCCTGACAAGACGTCGATTTTGGCCTGAAAAATTTGGCTTAAAACCTGAAGCTGTCAGACAAGCTACAAGCAAGCTAAAGAAGCTCAATAAGCGTAAATATCTGTTTAATGGCCCTGAAGGAGATGTACCTGAAGCTGAGAGATTCGCTCCAACACACGTTCCTTCGCTACGATATATCCAAAATCGACCTTCCGAATCGCTTCTACCTTTTGGCGATGCGCGTCAAGCTGTTTTCTGAAGGGTTTAGCTAGAGAGAGAGAGAGAGAGAGAGAGAGAGAGGGAGATAGATGCGAAAAGCTACTTACCCCAATTCAGCAGCTCTCTTTTTTATTGGCGTTCTAGGGCGGCCGCCAGATGCCGCTTCCGCTTCAAGCTTGGCAACCTGAATTAAATTGATACCGAATTCTAAACCCCATCCGAATCGCAAAAAACTCAGGCATAAACCTAAGCCTAAGCTTAAGCCAAAACTAAGCCTAAGCCAAGGCCTAACCCGAAGCCTAACCTAAGCCTAAGCCTGACGGTAAAATGACACTTTTTAAAGCTGGTTTCTAGTCCCGATTTCCAGTTAAATTTAAGCTTAACAATCCAATAATCAAAAATTGTATCAAGATCCCACCTGGGTAGCAAACTGGGCGGTCCTCTTGTGGAAGTCGTCGAGAGACAGGATGCGGCCATAGGGGGGCATTCAAAGGGCTGCCGGAGACGGCAAGAGAAAAAGAGGATTTCCACTCTGTTTCTCTCCCTCTCCGCGCACCTTTGTGAAATCGAGGGTGAGGGTGTCGTCATGGAGACGCCCCCTAGCGGCTGCTCGCGCCCCGCGCGCGATTCCACTACTTCGGCCACCTGGCCCCTAGACAGTGGATGGCTAATTGGTGGTTGACACGGGATTATAGGCAATATTGGGCGTTGGGTTGCTGATTGCGATAGGAAAATTTAATACGAAGATATTTAATATCCTTTGCTCTTTTATTTGCAGTGTTATAAATTAAACTATGCCAAGCCAAGGCCTTCAATGATAAAAAATTTATAAACATTTTTCAAAAAAAAGGCGCACGCAGATTATACAAAAATTTGATAATGACAAATCTGGTCCAGTTAAGCTCGAGGAGTGGGAGAGAGAGAGCAATAATTTCACATATTATTTCCTATTCTTGTGATGCTCCAACATATCCTCCAGCATCGCCTTCACCTTTTCTGAGCAGACTGCCCGGTTCTTTTCTCGGGCCTTGGGGTCTGGGATCTAAAAATCATTGTCATAGCTTTTTGAATTTTTCCCGGCAAGGCAAGAACTTGTTCTGACATACCTTTGTCGCCACATAATTTGCTATCGGTCCAAACATGGCGATATTGACGAGGGCGTTGAACGGGTAGACCGAGTAGTAGTTGGATTTTAGCTAAATACACTTTTCGTCATGAAAGAACAATTATTACGCAGCGATATGGAGAGAGAAAGAGAGCAGAGAGAGAGAGAGAGAGAGAGAGAGAGAGAGAGAGTCGTACCTTTTCCAGCGTGAATGGCATCTCCCTATCGTGCCCTAACGCCTCTCGGAAAGCGGCGTAGTACTTTTCCATCAGATCTTTCTCGCTAAAACGAACTTGGCGGGTGAGCAGCTTCAAGATACTGTTTTCTTCGATCCGCTCCTGACATGATTGTGATGAAAAATCGAGCCAGATCGCCGCCAGGTGCCGAGAGGTGAATTAACTATAAAGGATAGATTTCCGTCTCTTTAGCTGTTTCTCTCTCCTCCCTCTCTCCTCTCTCTCTCTCTCTCTCTCTTTCTCTCTCTCTCTCTCTCTCTCGTTACCTGAAAATCGATCAGCGCCTTCAAATCCTCGCCAGCAGTGTTCCACAAAATATTCGCGGACCACATATCACCGTGCGCCAATAGGGGCTTGATTCCTAAATACTCCTATGCAAAACTGTTTAATGTACACATTAACTGGGTGCTTTTTAAGGAATCTATTTGAATTATAACGTTTTCCACCACACCCCATCGTTCCGGTTCCGTGTCCAGCCTCTCCAAGTCATACACCTCGTCCTTCACGGCCAGTGCTTCATCGATAAGTTCTTGCAGCTCCGGGTAAGGCTCCTCCAGCGATTTGAACATGTCGATCAGGTTCTGTACGTATGTAAATAACTCTTCGAATGAAAAAAATAGATAGTACTTTGCGTTTTGCTGCAAAAACTCACCTTGCTCTCCATCATCTCCGCATACACCTTTCGGTAGTTGTTCTCCTCAAAGCACTTCAACTTCAAGAACTCGTCGGTGTACGTGTGGGCCTGTAGGCGAGCCCAGGCTTTGAGGGCCTGAAAAGGTCATAGGGACCCGGAATTCATGTTCAAAGAGGCTGGAAACTGCCAGAAATTACCTCACAATGGTGCTCCGGTTCTCTCTCTCTCTCCCTCTCTCTCCCTCTTACCTGCTCCGCCTTCTCCGGCGCTACGCAATCCGTCAAATTTTTCGTTAACGCCCTGTCCAAATATTCCATCAGCATGAACCCGTAGACGTCGTCGTCACCGGCAAATTCTCGGTGTCCGTAAATCTGGGGTACGGTAGAAAGGGTAGTCTTTAGCCTGTGTTACCTCAGGGATATGAAGCTCCTTTGCAGGCACTCCGGCCCCTTTCAAGTAGTCGTAGAATTCGCACTCGGCGTTGTGAATCTGAAAGGCAAGACAGTAATAGAGCGAGAGAGAGAGAGAGAGAGAGAGAGAGAGAGAGAGAGAGAGAGAGAGAGAGAGCTAGATAGAGAGATGACCGACTACCATTCTTGCCTAACCTACCGTCTTCACATACACTTGCCACTTTGCCAAGAATCGCGCCTCGTCCTCGGCCGTATGCTCCTTCATCGACCTGGCCATTTCCCGGCACTTGACGCATGTCGGCATTTTGAGAATAAACTCAAAATTTGGGCTGCGGTGTTGGGATTAAGCTAACTTATACCTTTTCTGGCAGACGGTCAGCATCTTCCGTCCACTTTGGCTCGATGAGACCGATGATGGAGATGAAACCCTAAAATTCGAGTGTTAGCGTTCCGGCTCAAGCTCGAGCCAACAATAAGCTGAGGCCACAATAAGCTGAGGCCAGGGATCATCCTAGCCGCAGGTATAAGCCGAACGAAGCTTAAATCTAAGCCTATGCAAAGCCTGAACCTAGCCCGCCTACCTTGCCTTCCGAAATATACGTCGCCGTCCAGTCATCTCCAAAACGGGCCTTTGTGTTGAAATTCTGAAGTCTTTCTAGTGATCCAAATTTTCTTGAATTACATGTTGTAATGCTTCTTCCACCAGCTCGCGGGTTACATGTGTTTTTAGGATGCCTGTTCCCTCTTCGGTAAGTGAGAGCATTCTAAAAATCGTTTATCGAGAAGCGAGAGAAAGAGAGAGAGAGAGAGGGAGGGAGAGAGGGAGAGAGAGACATCTAGAGTAACCAAGAATCTATCAAACGGCAGCCCATCAATATATATCAAGAATTTGGTGATGCGCCATAGTCTTATCACGGGGTCGGCGCGACCTCGTCACAAGATCAAATGTTACGCGCGCAGCAGCAAAAAGCGTTGCTTAATCGGGCAACCAGGCAACTATGGGGTCATTTTTCGTTCGGACTTCTAGCCTTTCACTTTTCTCAGGAAATCACAAAAACATGATTTTTTATCGTGATTCAATAGATTTTTGATTTCTGGGAAATTATGAATGCCGATTAAAATTTCATAAAAACATTTAAATTTCACAAGGATCAGAAAGGAAAACTGGTTGCGGCCAGCCAAAAATCTTCCGCCAGGAACACGTAAGCGCCTGACATGTAAGGATGAGTTGGAGCCTCCAACTTGGAGGTTGAAAATTGGACCCACGTGGAGCTTGAAAGGGAAATGGTCAGCGAAAAGAGCGCAACGGTCGGTTAGTCGGGGTCCATTTATTCCCTCTTTCCCCAAGGGCGGCGATTGCACAACACCCGGCTCCCGTTGGTCAATCGGGACACACGAGGTAACCGCCGAATTAGCGAATAAATGCTTTGAACTTGTCGAAGACAGGTTAAATTTCAATATCCGTGCTACAGTAATCTAGATCCGTGATAAGCCGCCACCAGGAACCGAAAGGGCAAAACTCGCAACGTGATGACCGGACACCCGGTGAGTTATTAGTCAGCGGTGAGTAAACATTAGGCCGACTAGAGAGCTTGTTTGGGATCATTGACCGACGGCTCGCGGTGGCTAGGTAGAAAATTAACTTAGAAACACGTTTTAAATATCAAGCACTGTGCTCTGCCTTTAAATATGAAACGAAAACATACTAAACTCATTCGACACTGCCGCTTCGAGTTAAGTTATATACTTCAACCGATAAATTAAACTTTTCTGAATAGTAGGGATCCATACAAATCGATTTTCAGCAATCGATCTATCGCACGGGGCTATAAATAAAAATGACAGCACACTCTGCTTTTGGGCAATTATCGCCGCGATCTGGTTGGCTGGGGCTGGACCCGGGAAACGAGTATGAAAAGCTATGTGTACAGGGTCGACTGAAACCCACGTACTTTAAATTTAAATTCTGCTTTGACAGTTGTTTGTCTAAATCGGGAATAGTGCGCATTGAGGGCGGCCCGTTCTGAGGGAGTGATAAGCCCATTAGGGCGCCTGATTGCACGCTTATCCGAGTCAAGAGGGCAGCAAAAGGGCACCGGGGGTTTGAGGCGCAGGATTTTAGAGGGCAAAGTTGCTTAGAGATTTTAGTGGCTGAAATGCGGAAATGACTGGATTTAATAGGTCCAGAATAGGTTTAGAAAAAGCTCAGAAAAAAATAGGTTTACCAACCAAGAGACAACCCTACAAAAAATCTTAGCAACTACACCAGCGCCTCTCAGGTTTCGTGCAAAACCTTTTCTAGCACTATTTCTGGCGTTCTTTCAGATGCATAGATCAAAAAACGATTTCGCACGGTTGATTTCTCGCGAAATCACCATTGGAAGGTACAGCCGATGGGGGGAGGGCGGGGGGGGGGGCTAGTTGCAACTTCAAAAAAAATCGTGGGGACCACATCCGCGATGTTACCACCAAGCCAGTTAGCACGTCGGAATTAACGGCCGAGCAGGGTGAGGACGTCCATAGTTGCCACTTTAAAAAATTGTAGCGACCACATACGCGACATTACAACGATGCAAGTTAGCACATCGGAATCGGCGTTTCAAGGCGGTCCGAATGAGTCCCGGGCGAAATTCTGACGAGGAATGGCTGACGCGTAGAGATTTTTTTCTTCCCCGGATCCGAGTCACTCAGCGTTTTTAAAATATGGGATTTGCTCAGAATTTCAAGCTCTCTCGATAAAAAAAACACAAAATAAATTGAACAATGAGCGATGCGAAAGCTCAAGACTTCAGGAACGTCCGAAAAACGACAGCTTGTTCACCAAATTCGTGTCAACAACTCCTAAGCAAATCCACCTTTCCGCCCCTTGAAAAGCAAGCCCTCGAATTGCTTATGATTTCCACAAGGATCCCCTCGACGGTCGGCTCATATGGGCTGACGCTGGCATGGGATCGTGGACAAATTGGGCTCGGCGCGACCAGTTCTACCTACCATGCACCCCCGAGGGCAAATTGGCTCGCAGCCAATACACCCCGCCAGTCCGTCAACCCTCAACCCAGAGCCACCCCGCTTTTTCCAGAACCTAGGGCTAAGCCTAAGCCTAAGCCTAAACCTAAGACTAAGGCTAAGCCTATGCCTAAGCCGAAGCCTAAGTCTAAGGATAAGTCTAAGCCTATACAGCAGTTGGATTAAAGCTTTTTAAGCAGTGTTTGTAGATTAATGTTTGCAATAGGCTATGGTTTTTCTAAAATAGCAAATATGCAAATTCATAATATCCGAATGTTCTGAAATGTTTTAGCAAATTTTAGCCTCTTAATTCGAAAATTTGCGTTTAGAAATTTTTTGATTGCAAAATCTCAAGTTTTTGACTTTAAAAAAATAGCAAACAAATACTCAAATTTCAGTTTTCGTTAAAATATGCAAATTTTAATCACTTAGAAGAAAGTTTTAATCACTCTGATAGAAAGGATTTATTTCTCACGTTTTCATTGAGTATTTCCATTAGTTCCAGGCATTTTACAAATGTTTTACAGAAAATTCGAACATATTAGAAAATTAGAAGAAATTTTCGGTGCGGCGCAAGCCGCTAGGTTTCCAAGTTGGCGTCTAGGGTTCGATTCCCCGCAGCATCTACCACCTCTTTTTGCGCTTGCCTTTAAGGTTATGCATATATTTTGCTCAAGAGTAATTTCAAAGCCAGGTGTATTTCGCCTCGCGTAGTCTGGAATACCATGATGATTCAGCATCTCCCCGATCCATCACACCTCATTCCACATGCCGAATTTTTCGTTTAAAAATTTTGCCAAAATGCACTCGGATGAGTCAGAAAACCCGGGGCAGGCCAGAAAAAGCGCTTTCCTTTTTTGGAGGCGCGTCTTTGGGGGGTGAGGCGTTAGATGGTGGTTGTGGAGGATGTTTGCGACCTTCCTCACCTCCCTCCTTCCCTCTTTTAGACCACCTGTGTCACCCGGAAAGGAGTCTCTCTCTCTCTCCCTCTCTCTCTCTCTCTCTCTCTCTCTCTCTCTCTCTCTCTCTCTCTCTCTCTCTCTCTCTCTCTCTCTCTCTCTCTCTCTCTCTCTCTCTCTCTCTCTCTCTCTCCCTCTCTCTCTCTCTCTCTCTTCTCTCTCTCTCTCTCCTCTCTCTCTCTCCTCTCTCTCTCTCTCTCTCTCTCTCTCTCTCTCTCTCTCTCTCTCTCTCTCTCTCCCTCTCTCTCATCCACCTACAACCGACGCCGCGCCGGCAACCCGAATGTGCGCTTGACCCTGTTCGCGCCAGTCTATACCGTGCTTCCGCCGCCCGCCTGCTCCCGCGCCGTTATTCTGCGCCTGGTTTTTTTCGGTTTTTGGCCGTTCATGTTCTGCTTTTTGTTTTTATGGAGAATTTTTCACTGTTTTATAATTTTGCCAGTTTGGACGCGAAGTCCAAAATCGTTAGATTTCATCGGTTTTCCAAACTTTTTTCTTTTTTTTTTTTGCAAAATCGTCAGATTTTCCTCCGCTAAGATACAAGGAAAAACCAAAGAAATCTCTCTCTCTCGCTCTCTCTCTCGCTCTCTCTCTCTCTCTTGCTCTCGCTCTCTCTCATTGATGCTGAAAATTTGACTTTTATCTTTTCCGGAAAGGCTAAAAATTTTTAAATGACTTTTACTCTAACACGCTCCGTTTGATCCATACATTTTCCATCTTCGTCACACACCCCGTAACGTGACCCCCAGACTTTCTCTGGGTGCAAACATGGCCCCCGGGACGGTTTTTTCATACTGGCGTCGAGGGTGGACGCGCGATTCACTTCACGGACCACCGATCCGACCGTCCAATTCCGGTCACCAGCCCCGCCGCCGAATTCCGAATCGAGGAATCGAGGGCCCATCAAGGACCGATCCGCCACAAACACACGCGCGACGTCATTTATGGGAAGAGAGAGAGAGAGAGAGAGAGAGAGAGAGAGAGAACGATCGACCTGACTAGGGCGTCGAGCCGATATTTATTTATCCTTGGGCCCGGGCCACCAAATCAACCCTTCGGGGGTGTCAAGGGTCGCGCCCCCCGCGCGGGTAATAGGCGCCGCGCCGAGGCGTCCGGTTCCACGCGCTACGGCCCGGAAAGTACGATATGCTCGACTGCGCGTTTGCGTCGTGTACGTCAAGTTTATTGAAATAAAGCTATATAAAAGGTGTTGTTTAATTCTTCTTGTCTGTGGCAGGCCTTTGCTTTCAACCTTTGCTTTCATCTTATCTTTTTCCGTTTTTGGTATCGGGCGATAGCGCTTTTTCGAGCCGCTAAATCTAGGCTTGGTAGACCGGACCAGTAAAGTTCTAGTAAGCTGATTCCAAGATCTGCTTTCGCTAGGCATAAGCCTAAGGCTATTTCTGAGATCAAGTCCTAAGCCTAAGCCCAAAGACAAGCCGATGCCTAAGCTAGGCCTAAGCCAAGCGTAAGCCCGAGCCTGAGCTCGCTCTCCCAAATAAAGCGACTAAGCTTGAAATGCCACTATTATCGTGCTATTAAGAAAAGGATCTTGAAAGTTTCTAAAGCCTGAGCCTAAACCTGCGCCTAAGCTTAAGCTTGCATTCTGATCCTACGCTGAAGCTCAATCTATCCTAATGCGAAAACTTAAGCCAAAAACCCTAATCCTAAGCCTAGTTGTCTTCCTGATCGAGACTTGGTCGTTTAGCCTATTGCCATCAAAAATTGGAAATTTCACGCTGGTAGCTAAACACTGCAGGCACGCTCCCGTTAACCTGCATCGAAACCAGTTCCCCCT